CTCAATATAAGAAGGATATCAGCTGATTGAGGCGAGTCCAGAGGAGGCCATGAAGATATTCAGAGGGCTGGAGCACCTCTGCTATGGGGACTGGCTGAGAGAGCCTGGAGAAGAGAAGGCTCCGGGGAGACCTTATAGCACCTTCCAGTACCTGAAGGGGCTACAAGGAAGCTGAGAGAGGACTTTTTACAAGGGTCTGTAGTGACAGGACAAGCGGTAATGGGTTTAAATTGAAAGCAGGGAGGTTTACATTGGATATCAGGAAGAAGTTCTTCCTGGAGAGGGTGGTGAGGCACTGGAACAGGTTGCCCAGAGAAGCTGTGGATGCCCCATCCCTGGAAGTGTTCAAGGCCAGGCTGGATGTGGCTTTGAGCAATCTGGTCTAGTGCAAGGTGTCCCTTGCCCATGGCAGGGGGGTTGGAACTAGATGATCTTTGAGGTCCCTTCCAACCCAAACCATTCTATGATTCCATTCTATGATAATGTGCTTTTATTAATGCTGTGATATTATTTGAACACAGTGTGTGTACATGTTACATTTGATGTGAATTGTATCCACAGACAGAAGCCTGTTTCCCCAAGCAGATAAGCAGCTTTCTTCTCTACAGAGAAAGTCCAGTTTATGTTTAACCTCTCTGATCAGCTTCCTGTTTTCTAATGGCTCAAGGCCAAAAGCTCAGCCCCTCAGACATGCAGCCCTTTTTAATCAGCACTGATCACATGTAGGTTGCTTAGTGCTTCTCCAAAAGCATACTTTGATTTTTCCCATTTTTTTCAGTGAGAAATGTTTTATGTGGCACAAACTGAAATGTTCTCTCCACTTGACAGTGGGTGTAGCCCACTCCCTCCTTCCATGAGAAAGAAAAGGTGAAAAGAAAAGTGAACATTTCTCTTGCTGAAGTGGTCAGTAAATTGAAGCAACTCCAGGTGTTTGGGTGTTTTCATTTCTAGTGTTAGCAGCTCTAAAATGGGATGGTTAGGCTCCTTAGAACTTTGTCTTTTTTCACCCAGGGTTTTGTTTTGATTTGATTTTCCTGGTGTGGGGAGGACTTAATTTTAGGTCCTCCATATGTCCTGTGCTTCAGAGATGCTCAGCACTTTCTTCATATGCATGCAATCAATGACCCTTGAATTTTCCATAAGAGATGGAGGTCGCCACTTGTAGTTCCTAAAATTGTTGGAAGAGAAATGCATACTTAGTTGTTGAGCTGGAGAGTCGTCTTTGGAAACTTGGGGTGGGAGGCTGAACCCTGAATTTGGATTTAAGTTCACATTTTGTCAAAAAATATGCATTATGCTGAGCTTGCTTGAACAGGAACTGATTTTGTAGAATGGTAATTCCTTTTACTTGCAATCCACTTCTGAGACTGGAATCAAGATCTACAATGATGATGAGCTCTGTCTAAACCTATATATGCAATGTTCTTCCTACATTATTTAAACCCTAATTTTCCCAATCATGGCTTTTCTCCCTTCAGGATCCTGCTTCATTGTCAGTACTTCCCTTCAGTTACTTCCATGTTGGTTCCTGTAGTAATGGCCTATCCTCCCTATCCCTTTAAGAAATGGGATACTTATACCTTCCGTTTGCACTGCATACTTAAGAGGAGATTGCTTATTCAAAGGTGAAGACTCCCTTTGGTATCTTGCTGTTGTTAAGGATGCTGTCTGCCTGTCTTTTGCATTTGCATGCTACCACCCTCTCCACCTGCATGTCCCTCTGAAAACTGCTGTGATACCTGTCAGATACGCAGCACTGTTCTTGGGGAATAGATGCAGACATACCAAATCAAAAATGACAGTGGAACCTATTCATTGTGAATTCAGGTTTGTTAAAGCTCCATTGCCACTGCAGTGGAATGCATTAAATATTAATTAATTGCAAATCATCCTGTGCAGTTACACATGCGGTAGAGATCTACTCACAAAGTGATGCTTTCAGTTCCATAGGGTTCTACTGCACTTAGCTAGGATGGGTGACTGGTAGTTAAGTATGCAAGAGACAGTTCTCTGAATAAAGTACTAAGCTGCATGTGCTAGCCCAGGGCATGCTCTGTCCCATGTTCTTCATCGTTTTATCGCTATCAGCGTTCAGTGTAGCAATAAGCAAAACCAAATTAGACCTTTAACTATGAATATGTCCTTTCAATCCTTGTTCTGTGCATGGTGCCATGGTCAGGTAAGCTGTTCAAAATCGATGGGAACATTTTTTCTTCTTCCCAGGATGATGAGCCTCCCACCAAAGGGAAGAAAAAGAAGAAGAAAAAGGAGGAAGAGATCGATATTGATGTGGATGACCCAGAAGTTAGCCGCTTTCAGTATCCCTTTCATGAACTGATGGTGTGGGCTGTGCTGATGAAGCGGCAAAAGATGGCACTCTTCCTTTGGCAGCGAGGGGAGGAAACCATGGCCAAGGCACTTGTGGCATGTAAACTGTACAAGTCTATGGCCCATGAGTCTTCGGAGAGTGAGCTGGTGGACGACATCTCTCAGGATCTGGACAACAACTCAAAGTTAGTGGATGCAGAGCAGAGTATATGTCTACTTGATATAGGGGGTTGTCTGACTTGCTGAGAAGCTTTACTTTTAGTAAATACAATTGATTTCTAGAATGTAGGTTCACAGAATGCGATTTGGAGCCTATTTATCAGCAGTAAACAAGCCAAAATATGGTCTCAGAATCTGAAGGCAACACTAGCAAGGATAAAATTTGCATTTTTTCTGACAGAATGTATTTTTTCAGCTTTTCTCCCTGTAAAACCAGCTAGTTTTATTTTACAAAGTTATTTTCAAGAATTACTCACATAAATCAAGGGGTTTCTGATGATATACCAAAACTAGCCTTAAGATGTTATTGGTCTAAGCTAATTCTTTCTGGTCACTAAAGGTTTGTTTGGAACTTTTGTAGACTGTCCCAAATCAAGCTTGAGACTTGGTTGCTCTTCTCATTGTACATGTGTGTGGAAAAACATGACCTTCTGTGAATGGAATTAAAACCCCAAATGTAAGCAACACTGATCTCTAAATCAAAATTCACAGGACTTAATCTTGCATTTTCCAGAGATTTTGGCCAGCTGGCTGTTGAACTCTTGGATCAGTCCTATAAACATGATGAGCAGATTGCCATGAAACTACTGACCTACGAACTGAAAAACTGGAGTAATTCTACCTGCCTAAAACTGGCTGTGGCAGCTAAACACAGGGACTTTATTGCCCACACGTGCAGCCAGATGCTTTTAACAGATATGTGGATGGGGCGACTACGCATGCGGAAAAATCCAGGCCTTAAGGTATTTCTGTTCTGCATTTGTTTTCAAGGATGCAGTTTGTTGCATGTTACGCTACATTACACATAGTGTATGCATAGAACAAATTGGCTTACTGATTAGTGATGTGTTCAGAACATACCTGTTTTAAAGCTTTTTGTTTGTTTGTTTCCAAATTCAGGGTATCTAAGGAACATTGTCCCATGACAAAGGAAAATATAAATCCATAAAGGCTTAGCATGATTGGAATCTGAGAGCAAAGTTGAGACTTTTAATGAATTATGAGATCTGTTAATTAGAAACATACACCTCTGATGAAAAATTAGCTGGATAGAAGCAAAAAGAACTTCATTAGGGGACCTCGCAATAGGAATAGAGAGAAAATGAACTGGATGTGGACACAGGCTTCACATTGCTTAACAGCAATAACTCTCCCCTTGCTATGTACAAAGCTGCTTTTACCTTTCATAAGTTTTTTAACTATTAAAACTAATTATAGTAGGTGACTGATGTAACTATAAACTCCAGTTTATAAGTAAACTTCAGGCTTCAAACCTGAAGCCCTCTTCCAACTGCCACTATGTCCACTCTATGGAATTTCTGTGCGCAACTCTTAATTCTGGAGCACAATTTCTTAATTGCAGTGTATTTGTGGAGATGGGAAGCCTTCCAGGATGCCATCTTCTCATACAAGACCTTATTGCCAAGACTTCTTAAGTACTACTTGGTGGGTTTGAAGATAGCACAGTATCTTGAATACTATAAAGCAGAAAATATTGTTTATGGGATTTGCCTTGTTATGAAATCTGTCAACATAAACAAATATTGCCATCTGAGTTGAATTCTTTCTTGTTGTGCAGGTTATAATGGGGATTCTTTTCCCTCCCACCATCCTTTTCCTAGAGTTTCGGAGTTACGATGATTATTCTTACCAGACATCAAGAGAAAATGAAGAAGGCAAAGAAAAGGAGGAGGAAAATGTGGTCAGTAATGCAGATTATTAGTAGGTTCTGTTATCTCAAGAGTGCTCAGTTCTCTGATTATGCTATAGGTCACTCAGGTGAATATATCTCAGTGCCTCTGTGGGCTAAAAATCTGAACAATTTTTGGAGTGTATAAGTTGAATTCTGAGGGCATGTAAATTATCTGCATAGTTGCACAGATTTATAGAATTTGTATTTTTGTATTTTTAAAAAGCGGTCTGTTTCTTAGAGAAAGCATCATGTAGTTAACAGATGGCTGGGGCTGTAGTTGAGGAAAAGCTATTATTTTTACTGTTGTGTATTGATGAAAACTGACAATTTTGGTCTTGCAGGATGCAAATGTGGATACAGGCTCCCGAAAAGGAGATGAAGAGAATGGAAATAAAAAGCAAAATAGCCTTCCTATTGGAACAAAGATCTATGAATTCTATAATGCACCTATTGTCAAATTTTGGTTCTACACAGTAAGTAAATTACAGTTTAATCATGATTAAACTGGGAGTGACCATTTTTCACAGACCTGTGGAACTTAAAGGTTTCCAATGTAAAAATAATAACCGAGTAATAAATAAATGAACAGTACTGGCTTGCATGGAATGTGATGACTAAAGCACTCCCTTTATTCAGAGAAAAACGCACAGACAGTGAAACAGAATGAATAACTGAAGCTTATGCTGTCAGCCTCTAAAGCTCCTGCACACTTTGAAGGAGGCCCTGTCTGTCTAATCACATGCCAAACTCAGTGCAACCTCCACAGTCCAGTCACTCAGTCCAAGCCAGGCTGGATTATTTTGCTTTCTAAAGGCTCTGGCTCCTGCTCTGTGTTGAAATACACTTCAGGACCCGTGAAGTAATGTCACAATATCAGTCCTTGCCATTTGCTGTGTTGACAGTTAGGCTCAGATAAATGCAAACTCAATGGAAGCACAGATCCCAGTCTGCTAAGACTCAATAGGTGCTTTTCTCTCAATAGGTGCTTTTCTGTTATTTAAATAATTAAACCCAATCTTAGCTGAAAGATCTATTTTTGACAAGCATCTGATTTTCTCCTTAGTGGATAAAGAACTATCTAGTATTAAACTCTGTTTTAATAAAACAGGAAAAGTATTCGTGCTACTGCTTTGTGTGTGCCCTGTAAAAAGGATACTGGTTTATTTTTTTATTCAAAGTTAGGGCTTCCAATACATCCTATGTCATAATATAATGTAGGTTTTTAATTTTAGCACATTGTAATTACAAAACACTATACTGATCCCCTTCTGCTGTCTGTATTAATTATTTAAAAGCAAAATTCCTATTTAATTTCAAAGAAAAGTATTCAACACGGTTTCACAGTGTAAAGAAATTAAATTTTAGTAGATTAAAAATGCCCCAGGCACAAAGGGCCCGATTTAGAGTGCTTTGCAATTGTTGTTTTGCTTCTTTCAACAAATGAGATAATTCAGCTGCCTGGATCATATGTTCCACAGCATCTGCCATTCCCTCAGCTGCTGGAGGCCCATGGCCTCTGCCAGTGTGCATGGCAGCTGCAGGAGGGCCACTGTAGCAGGCCCGCTTGCTTCAGAGAAGAAAATCTTTTTTCTTGTGCAAGTAAGGATCTTCAGCAGCTGAAACCTTCACGCATAGCCTCAATGTATGTGTTCATACATGTCTGTATGAATGTCACAATTAGGGTGGGCTACACTTTCATACATTATCAGGCCTCCCAGCTGAGAGGGTGTTGCTGCCTTCTGTTTGGTGTTTCTCCTCTGACATGGTAGTGCAGCCCTCTGTGCTCTTGCTGAGTTACCCTTCAGCAAGAAACTTGCTCCCGAGACTAAAGGCTACTTAAAGTAACCAAAACATCTGCTAATCTACTGTTCATGCAGGTAGGTCGAAGTAACAAATATAGCAAGAGGTGTTGTAGGGACTGGTATATGAAGTCTGTATGCCTCTGCCTTTGTGTAAAGAGTATATTTTGCCTAGATGGTCTCAACCATTACAGGGTGGAGAACAGCAAGTGGCCTGTGTAGCTCGCTCTTTCCCCTACCCTCCAGGCAGGTGCTGCTCACGGCCCTGCCTCCCTGTTCTGCTTTAGATTTGTTTTGAGATAGTGCATAAATATTTCACATTGACTTATCTTATTCTTTAGAAAACTCCATTTTCTCCATGGAAAATCTTTCAGTTTATTAATCCTTTGTTTCCCCCTGCCACCCCACACCCCCACCCCCTCCCCAACACCCTCCTTTTTTTTTTTTTTTTTAAAGCCATTGAATCCTTTTTCGTTTCTGAACTCTGACTTCCAAGGTCTCTGAAGTTTTCCACTTGGCCAGTCACCAAAGACTGCTATGAGGCACGGAGACACCACAATCACTAGTTTGACATTTACACCAGTAGTTACAGAAAACTGAGTAATAATTCTATTGACTTACACTAATATTCCAGAACTTCCTAATGGAAGTTAGTGGAGACTGATTTCTTTTTTTTTGTTATTTGGTCTGGAAGCCATCTCAAGTAATTGAATGCTGCCTAACTGTGGGAGGATCTTGGGAGCCATCACCTAAAGTCCATAAAGGATTTTCTTTTTTTTTTTAGATATCATACCTCGGTTACTTGATGCTATTTAATTATATCATCTTGGTGCGGATGGAGCGGTGGCCATCAGTCCAGGAATGGATTGTCATCTCCTACATTGTGACCCTGGCTTTAGAGAAAGTAAGAGAGGTAAAGTCTGATCATACCAACATCACACAATACTTAAAATGCAGCTCACTCTTAGAGGTAATATTGACATGGACTTGTACAGCATCCTCCCAAAATGCCCATCGCTGGAGAGAATTTCATTTATAACCCATTCCCATACATTAAAACCTCCTTTTATTGGGCAAAAAGTCAGGCAAAAATGCCCTGAGGTCAGTCATCACATGCATGCTGTCATTAAATGTTATTGATTAAAACCTACAACAAAAAAAAAGCTTAATAAAGCCAAAATAGAAACAGTGATGAAAAGGAGGTCCGGAGGAGGGACACGAAAATTATCACAGGGCTGGAACAGCTCTGCTGTGAAGAAAGGCTGAGAGAGTTGAGGGTGTTCAGCCTGAAGAAGAAAAGGCTCTGGGGAGAACTTAGGGCAACCTTCCAATGTAAAGGGGCCTCATAAGAAAGATAGACAGAGACTTTCTACCTGTAGTGACAGGACAAGGGGCAACTGTTTTAAGCTGAAAGGGGGTAGGTTTTGATTGGACATAAGGAAGAAATCTTTTTGATTGGACATAAGGAAGAAAATGTCTCTGGCCATGATAAGGGGGTTGGACTAGATAATCTGTATAGGTCCCTTCCAACACAAACTGTTCTATGTGTCTACAAAAAGGAAATTTTGCCTACTAGTAACTAAAAATATTGCTGCTTGAGACAAATTTGGCTGCCAGTGGAGAGGGTCTCAGGCACCTACTGAATGTGACAAATTTGGTCTTTTTTCATGGCCATTACTTCAAAAACGTAACTTGGAGGTTTTCGTAGAGATTTATTTGGGTGGTGTTTCATTTGTTGGGGTTTTTTTTTGTTGTTGTTTTTCAGATTCTGATGTCAGAGCCTGGCAAGCTGAGCCAAAAAGTGAAAGTTTGGCTCCAGGAATACTGGAATATTACTGATCTGGTGGCTATTTCAGTGTTTATAATAGGAGCAATTCTTCGCCTACAGAACCAGCCTTACATGGGTTATGGAAGAGTGATTTACTGCGTAGATATAATTTTCTGGTACATTAGAGTACTAGATATCTTTGGTGTGAACAAATATCTGGGACCTTACGTCATGATGATTGGAAAGATGGTTAGTGCCTAAATTGCTGTAAATTATGAATTTCAGAACTTCACGGGAAACTAAATACAGTTCTGATTTTAAAAAGAGGTCTTCCATCTGAGTAGGACTCTGAATAAAGGCTGTGAAAGATGAATTTCACAAAAACACCAGATGCAATACTCTTGCTAATAATTGCTTGTTTTGAGAGGGATTTTTTTTTTTTTTTTTAACCCAGCCTGAAAAAACTTGTTCACTTTGCCTGCCTCCTGCCTCCCAAAGCCAAAGCAGTAACAGATTGCCTATATACTGGGATCATCCACAAAACCATCAGTAGTGGACAGGAGGTGATACAGCAGTGATTGTGTCATCTGTGTGCAGTCACACAAGAGGTCTATGCTGAAAGCACAACATAGTTCACTTCATGCAAAAGAGAATAGGGATAGCAAAGATTTTAGCATTTTAAGTCTTTTAAAATAGAAAACTAGTATTCCTTTAAATGACTGTTTTTACTGCATTTTTATGTATGTTTAATTTATGAGCAGTAGTTAAAATCAAAGAATAATAGCAAGACAATTATCGAGGGGACTGTGTTTGTTCTCTTGATACTTTCTTGTTTACTTTAACGCATGCTGGCAAACAGACATGCCGGTGCTACTGTACTACCTGGTGATGTTAAGAGCCTCTGTATGGTCCCTCCATGCAGATGATTGACATGCTCTACTTTGTGGTCATCATGCTTGTGGTTCTGATGAGTTTTGGAGTAGCCCGCCAAGCTATCCTGCACCCAGATGAGGAGCCTTCGTGGAGACTAGCTCGCAACATCTTCTACATGCCCTACTGGATGATCTATGGAGAGGTGTTCGCAGACCAGATAGACCGTAAGAGTAGAATTCATAGTAAGAGTCTGTTTCCTGTTTCTGAGGCAGATGATCAGATCCAAATTAATGATTGTTTTTAATTTGGAAGTAGTGTTTTGTCTTTATGATTATATTGTTGTTGTTGTTTTCTTATGACAGACTCCAGAGATGGAACAATTTTCTGTTCCCCACCTGCATGTTCTGTCTCACAGTTTATATTCAAACTCAGTTAACAGTGAGAGTGACAGAGTCTGGATTACTCTCCTATCCAAAAGTATAACAGTATTAAGTATTCTGTTTACTTGCAGGGATCTACAGAGATCCTTCTGAAATGTTCTTTAGAACCAGTGTTTTACTAATAGTCAGTTCCAACAGAAGAATTAAAAAATAAATACCTTGCACAGGAGATGAAAATACACATATCCTTTCATCGCTAATTCACAGCACAGGCAATGAGCTAATACATTTTGAATCCCATTGATACATCTGTCTACTTTCCAGAAATGTTTCCATTTCATGAATCACTCATGTTCCTCTTTTCTACACCTGTAGAAAAACGAAACAAAAAAGGAAAACCTTTCTTGGTTAACTTTGGGTGTGGAAATAGCCTTTCTTCTATAAAAGCTGCACAGTTTTGAAAAATAACTGTCAGTATTTTAGAGGAGAAGGAAATGGTCGCGTTACTGTTAGGTTTGTGTTAATTGAAATTTGTACAGACAGTCAAGCGTGCAGCTGGCCTCTTCTAGTGTGTTTCACACAGTTTGCACTTTATCTGAGATAATATAAGCTGCTATTTCAGCACTGTGTGTTATTTCAACCACCTGCATATATTGCCAAGTAGTAAAGTGGAAGGCTGAAGAAACTGAGGTCTAAGTTCAGTCAAAAAAGATAAAGATCCATCATCATAAGACATCTTTATACCAAATGTCATTGACATTTACTGTAATTGCTTAGAAAGGAATAAAATGTCATTAGTCTGTTTGTGAACAGTGTACACTATTGAAAGATCTTATCACCTTCATTTTCCTTATGAAAGCTTGTCTCATTAATGTAACTTATGATACATTAAATTAGTCTTGACAAATACAAGGTCAAACCAGTCATTTATAGTATCATACTGCAGTTTCAGTGCATAAGTGAACCGCAATAAGCTCAGGATTTCTCAAGTGGGTTAATTCACCCATGGGGAAGAATAGACTGTAACAGAGTTTCCCTTACCTTTGTGGCTCATAATATGCATTCAAATCCTACCTAGTTTTGAATAAAGAATGTTGCCAGTGTAGACAGATTGATTTATTTATAAATCAAATCTCACACATAACCAAGAATACTGATGTCTTTAGTGTAAGTGTTGTCCCAGACTTCTCTCATGCTTCCAGTCATTTCTCAATGATATACTCTGCATCCTTTGAATTAGAAATCTTTCTTCAGCAGTGCAAAAAAAGTTTGGGGTTTCCAGTCACACAGGTTCAGTCCAGCTACTTGCTCCACTAACTTTCCCAGGTCAGAAGCTTTGCTCTGTCAGAATCCTCAACATAAGCTAACTTGGAAATGTGTGGGTTTGTTAATATTGAAATAAAAGTGCTCTGCAAGGAGTTCTACTGGTATAACTAGATGCAGTAAAATTATCCTGTAAATTTCTTACATCTAGAAGTCTATGGACTGACTTCTGAAGATCTTTTTGCTTTCAATAAGAAATTTTCACTCTGATCTTTCCATGGCTCTCTGTAAACACACCACAAAAACAACCTCAGGAGTCACGGCAGTGATTGCTGTGGGCAGTCTAAGCTGACTCTGTGTCAAGTGCTTATGGGTTGCCAAGGCCCATGAGTGTAAACAATTTATGGAAGAATTATTACATCAGATTTTCCATCTGCAAGAAGGTAGTTGGACTTTTGTCAATAGCTCCAGTGAGGATAGGATGTCACCTAAAGATGAAGATCACAAATCACAGAATTGCTGAGGTTGGAAGGCATCTTTGGAGATCATCTAGTTGAACTTCCCTGATCAAAGCAGAGTAAATGAGAGCAGGTTGCACAGGCACTGTCCAGTCAGGTTTTTAATATATTGAATGATGAAGGCTGTGTGACCTCTCTGGACAACCTGGTTTAAATGGAATTCCCTCTATTTCTGTCTTGGCCCACTGCCTCTTGTTTTTTCATGGGATACCATAAAAAGAGTCTGGCTTTGTCCTCTTTACTCCCAGCTACCATGAGGTATTTATAATATTGCTAAGATCTCCCCTGACCCTTCTTTTCTCCAGGCTTAATTATCCCAGCTTTCTCAGCCTTGCTTCAGTTGTCAGATGCTCCAATCACCTTCATAATCTTTCTGACCCTTTACTGGAGTCTTTCCAGTATGTCCATGTCTGATTTCTGTGGGGGAACCCAGAACTAGACAAGTCCAGATGTGAATAATTACCTCCCTTAACTTGCTGATAACACTTTTCCTAATGCAACCAGGATGCTCTTGTCTGGTTCACTCTGTTTAGATGTGTCCATGAGCAAGAAGTTAGTGGCATCTAGCACTCAAGAGCAAGATATTCTTAAACAATAGAGAAGCCTGGCTGAGTTTCTTCCCATAGTGTCGGTTTTTGCTACAGTCACCATTTAGGGGCTGGCAAGCAACTATCCATACTGGTAGTCAAAGTGGGATGTAATGGTATCAGTATCGTGACTATTAACAGAAACATAGCTATTCAATAGAAGGAGCTGCAGATTCAAAGCCAGGGTGGTTCTTAAAAAAAAAAAAAGGGAGGAACTGTTTCCATAATAGCTGAAAGAATGTATTTGTGTGATAATTTTGAGTTGTTTTGTGTTTATGGTGACTGCCAGATTTTTTTACTTGCCTGAAAAATCATGTATATTTAAACGATCATCTGCCAGAAGCATTTCGTGATTTATTATTACTATCATGAATTTGCTGCCATATGTAACATTTGAGGAAAAGAACATGAAAAGGCAATTGCAGAATACAATGCATTTTTAACAAAGAGATTGTTTCTAAGTATATGTCTAGTGTTCTGACATTTGAGTTGCTTATCTTTTCTTGGTGGCAAAACTATTTTCAATCATCTTTTTTTGTTTGTTTTATATATTATCTATTGTTTTCTCTTTCTCTCCCTGTCTTCTATTTTGTTCCTTTGGAATGCTGTTCAGTCTATGCCATGGAAATTAATCGTAAGTCTGTGTGGAGAGCTGATTATCTCATTTAGCTGAATATGTTCATTAATCTTTTTCTTCACTAGATACTGACACTTTAATTATAGGGCTCATCCAATATTCAGGTGTGGATCTTCTTTTTCTACTGTAAAAGTTTCATTCGAAAAGAAGCAGAGGAAAACTATTTTAATACTTATTGCAGGTCAGAAGTTTGAATTGAGCTTATGTGGTTGCTATGACTTGTTTCTAGTACATCAACAGTAAAATAATCCTTCTTTTAAATTATGATGCTTGAGTCTCATGGTATAGCTAATTGTCTTTGATGTAGGTATAATGTTAGGGTGTACTTTCATTGGTCCGTGTGAATAATATTATGCTTGACTTTCCTGTTATACTTTTCCTATGATAAACAGGAAAAATGTAGGTCTGATGTTTGAAAAGCAAGTATTTTTTATTAATCATAGCCTAAGTATCTTCTTCAGTCCATAGTAAATAAGATTATTCTGTTTTCAAATAATTTGAAGCATTTTTCACATAAGCTGGAAGCTTGGGTTTTTTTCCAAATGCTTTAAAAAATACGGTTTGTCACTATATATAAACTAAATCTGTAATGAACTCATTGTTACACTTAGTATGTACTAAGGTTTCAGCTAAGGAAAAACACTTTACCTGCCACTAAATGGTTCCAAAAGTTAGTCTTGTATTTGAAATCAGATAAGCTGGCACTGCACAGAACAAACTTGATGCATTTACCCAACTCTAGGACAGCTCTAACCCCAAGACAACCTATGTATTATTAGGATTGCTTCAGGTTATATCAGTTTGATCAATATTCTCAATTTTTGTCTCATTCTCACCGATCTGTTTTGCTGTTACTATATCATTTTCATTTTCTAATTTTATCTCTTTGGTTTAAAATTTTATCCAAAATTTAGAATTACTGTGAAACAGGGGAAACGGAAATTGGTTCAACAGTGGTGTCAGGGCCACTTGCTGGTAATGGTAACAGCCCCAGACAGGACAGGTAATAGCCTAGGGGCCATCTAGGGAGGCTAGTTAGGGGCAAAAGGAGACAGGGCCACGGCCAGAAGGGTCCACCCAGGGGACAAACACAGGTCCAAGGTCCATCCAGAAGGCAGGGCTGAGACCTGCACACCTGACATAGCTCAGGAAGGGGCAGGTATGCATGGGGAGGTGGGTGTGTACCCCAGGTGAAGCTGGTCAGGACCCTTAAAGCCTCTTTACTACACTCAGGGCCCTGATAAAGGTTTAATTTATGCTTGGCGATCTGGGACACTGTGTAAAATCCTTTTATATCTTTAGTAAGGTCTGCACACAAGTTTGGTTGGAAATTTTTTTTAATTACACTGTTGATGTGTAATTGTTGATGCACATTACAATCTTGTCCCAGACTATTACTATGAGAAAAAGAAAATCCATATGAATTTGTGGCAAAAGCCACACTGTACAGTAGGCTTGGAGCTGCCTCTCTGTTCACTACTATGGGAAGTTATTTTTCTATGCTGTAATTAGAAGCAGAAGTTAAAGTAGAAATTATACATACTTCCTACTGGAAATAAACTGACAAAACCTGTTGAGCTTGGCGATTTTATATATGTGTCATCGTTAAACAAATGTGAGTAGTGTTTTTAAGTATCTGGCAATTTGTGAAAAATACCTTTCCTGTTTTTTCTTTAGCTCCTTGTGGAGACAATCTTTACGATGATGATGGTAAACGCCTCCCTCCATGTATACCAGGGGCCTGGCTCACTCCTGCTATTATGGCCTGTTACCTCTTGGTAGCAAATATCCTGTTGGTAAACCTGCTGATTGCTGTCTTCAAGTATGTAAATGATCATGCACTATGTTTACTTTCTTATTACCAAGATAAAGTTTCTGTGAGAGCCAAGGGTTTGCATTTGCACTTAGAATCTAATTACTCTATGAACATGACTGGCAAATACTTGTAACAGTGTATACATTGGGAAAGGTTGTTTTGAATTTGCCAGAAAATGCAGTAATGGATGTGGCAGAATCTGCCTACTTCCAATTATCGTTCAGTGGATAGCAACTGGCCTCAAGATGGCTCTGGAAAGATAAAAACCAGAATCCATGAAACCTGCTACATGCATGATGGAAGGAAGCCCATGTAACCACTAGGGAACACGATTCTGTGATAAAACAGCAGAATGAAAATAGCAGGAGCCATTTTCCACTATCACAGTATCATCTGGCTTATTTTTCTTTTTTCTTGTTTTGCTTTTCATTTAGAAAAAAAAAAAAATAGGACCTTGCAGAGTTCTTACACGCTGCAGAAGAGGAGTCTATATTGCCTTAAACCAAAACAAATGATGGCTACATGTTGCCAATATCTGTGGCCAGTCCAAGCAATATGAACTATGCACATTCTTAATGTTAGTCTACAAATCTATATTTAAACTTCTCTGGAGTACAACTAAATGAATTTCTGTTGCTTGTTCTTTCTACCCACGGTTATGTTGCATGCTTTTCCTGTCATGACCTAGGGATTAAAAGAAATTTTAAAAAATCGTCTTGCTAGTAAGACTACTAGTAGACAAGTACAATACTAGTAAGACGACTTCCAAACACACCACCTGAGAAAAGCAGGTGATCCATTTCTGATGTCCATAAACATGTAGTGTTGGAGGACTTGTTGGCATAGGTAGCTGGTGTCACAACCTCAAAAATAGTTCATTGCATGCCCAGAAATCTACAGCTCACAAAGCCTGTCTTTCATTTGATGTATGTAACGTAAAAGGTCATGAATTTTAAAGTGGTCAGATGCCAGTCACATTGCTAGGGGGAAGGGGAAGAATCTTACAATAGTAGCTATTATTGGCTGAAGGACCAAGGAATCAGCAGTTTGGGAAGTAGGTCATGCTGTTAACTCCCACCATCCCAGCATGGTTGCAGGGGGGTGAGATCTAGCTGAGGAATTTCTGCTATGCAGGACACACAGAATGAAGGCAGATTGTCATTTATCATTGGTAAATAATCTTGTGTACTTAGCCAAAAGAAACCAAAAGCTATGAGTGCTGTCGTTCTCTGGTTTCAAAGAGAGATTTTAATTGTTTTTGTGAATGTAGATATTCTAAAGTACAGAAAGTTAGAAAAGAAGTGGACAGAAAATACAAAAAAGGGAGTGTCAATATCATCATTGTCATAGAAGTGGAGTAAGCTGTCTGAGCATACTTGAACACAGCTTGAAAAGCTTTATCTAAGACAGAACATCAAGTCTGCTTCTCTTAGATGGTATTTCATAACCTTGACTATTGTTATCTCTGGATTGAATACTACTGCTTTTACTCCTTCATGTCCACCGAATTACAAAATAAAACATCTTCATAACACACCTTGTTTTGGTGTAGAAATGATGAGGCCATGGCTTCTAAGAACAAATTCCTTTACAAGAATATGCACCATGTTTTTGAGTCAGAAGTTTGAGTGAGTAAAGTTTGAATTAGGACATTTTGTGAAAACTTGAAAAGACTTCTATGTAGGTCAAGCTGATTAGCATATTAAAGGCAAACTACGTGAAGCTTCTGGGTTTAGCATACAAAATATTTTTCATTAATTTAATACTTTGTGTAATATCAAATACTGGCATGTGTTAAAAGAAATACTTAATAACCAAGCCCCAACATACCAATTATGTGATTCATAAATTGTGCAAGTTTCTTTTCACTAACACCTAAAGGACCTTATACAGTAGGAGTAAACAGTCTTAAAAGGAAGACTGTTCTGAGTGGTGCAGGAGGGATGCAGAGCACCTTCTGCTGTGCTGCCCTCACAGGGAGTAGTGAAATTGTGAGTTCAGGTCATTCAGCAGCATCACCAAAGAGCTGAACCAAGCGAGTCATGTGACCTCATGTTATTTAGCTGCTGCTTTTTTCAACATGGGACTTTCTCAATGATAAGTAACCTTAGGGGCTTAATAGAAACTCTATGTGTGTTCCCTTTCAGCAATACATTCTTTGAGGTAAAATCAATATCCAACCAAGTCTGGAAGTTCCAGCGGTACCAGCTGATTATGACGTTCCATGACAGACCTGTCCTTCCACCACCAATGATTATCTTCAGCCACATCTACATAATCATCAAGCGAATCTGTTGTCGCTGCAAGAAGGGTGAAGGAGACCAGGATGAGCGTGACAGGGGACTGAGTATGCAAAACTTCTTCTAGAAATTGAGCTCTTTGCCGCAAATTAGCAGAAAGCAGCAGCTTTTCCAATGTTGAATATACCCATATATAGAAAATATAGCCATCATAGAAAATATAACCATATAGTGGATGGTCATAAAAGCAGATGATGGTCGTAATGCATTACAGTGCTGCAGGGCTGTGGCCATCTTTGACTAATTTACAAACTCATCTGTTCATTTAGTGCAGGAGTAGAATCTGCAGTACCCATATGTCCAAAATAATCTGCTAATTGGATTTAAATTGACTGCCAGAAGTTCAGAAAAAGGAAACTCATATTTTGTCTTCTGTTTTACAGAGTTGTTTCTGAATGATGAGGAGCTAAAAAAACTGTATGAGTTTGAAGAGCAGTGTGTAGATGAGTACTTCCAGGAAAAAGAGGATGAGCAGCAATCTTCTAATGATGAACGCATCAGAGTTACCTCTGAAAGGTACCTATTATAAGGAAAAAAAATCCCACCACTTATCTGGAACACTATTTGCTCTTTTGTGTCTTCATTATAACCAAAGTTGAGTTACGGTACAAAAGATTTAGATCTTTAAGAAAACTGCCACCAGTTCAGAAGCTGACTTGAATTCTGAATAAATATCTGTGCAGGTGCATCTCTCACAAGAGCAAGTTTTCTGTTGTTCCTACGAGTATGTTGCTAAGAGTGCTGGTTTGGGTAGCTTTGGTATGAGAACATTTTTGTTCACAGTCAATTTTTTCCCTCTCACTCATTTGAAGACCACAGTTACATCTTTTATCCCTTTGAGCAAATTACTACATGTTGAATTTCCAACAGCTCATCCAACCATGAGAAATATGGTGGATCTTAATGACAAAAGTGCTCAAGATTCTTCCCCTGGACCCATGGTTTGTACTAGGGTCCAGCACTCACAACTGCTCGATTTTAATCTCTGCCATAGATTCCCTTGGAAACTTTGAACAAGGCATTTAGCTTTTCAGTATGAACTTCCCCCATTTAAAAGACAGGGAATATTCACATGCAAATTATTAAGCTATTCTGAGGACTAGGTAATGTTTGCATATTGCTGTGTAAGCACACAGTGATAATGGCAGCAGCACTTTTTTACCAGGTCACTTGGCAGGACTGTTCCCAAAGGCGCTGTTAGCAGTGTTCAGCTAGTAGTTCTGAGTCAGTCAAAGGATGGGGTCTTCTGTCATTTCCTTAAAATGATGAAAAATTCTCCCTGTAATGAAAATGATACACCATTTAAACACCCGTTCATCTTAATCTACCTCACAGTACTTTGATGAACTACTCTCTATCTATCTATCTATATTCCTTTTAACATTTCTCATGAAGTAGCTCTGTGAGCCATATAATTCCTTAATGGATAAACATCTTTCTCTTGAATGGAGGCCTTGAACATCTTGCATTATTATATGTGAAGTCTGAGAATAGAGAAGTAAATGAAATCTGTATTCGAGTAGTTTCTATTGCGCTATTTAACCATGGCAATTTGTCAAAATCCTAGGTATTGTGGCAGAGAATAAAGCAGGGCTGGTAAGCCTCACTGATTCACTATGGTGTACGGCCACAAAGCAGATTTGCTTATTTCTCATGGCTTCTTGCTCCAGATGCTTTGTCATCTTTTGTGTGTGAGAGAAAAAAAATGCTAATTTAATTTCCACAGGCCGTTTACTCGTGTATGATGTCCAAGTCACATTCTAATGCATTACTTTTATATGCATTCTTCTGGTACCATCACTTTCATTACGATACAAAGGATTAAAAAAATAGGAAAAAGTATTATTTTAATTGAAGTAGACAATAATTCCACTTCCTTCAGCTGATACATAATTGAAAGGTATTTTAAGAGCTGAAGTAATCTCATATACACCAGCATATGTTCTCTCTCATACAGCTACAAAACCTGTTTTACAACATGCCTTGATGCTATTTTAAGTCATCCTGTGAGCACGTCGTTAGAAAGTATTTTTCATATTATTATCGATGTTTCACAGTGAAAAAGGACAGCTGAACGCCAAGTGGGTGGCACACACAGAAATGTTAAAGCAGGCTGTCCTAAGGCAAAATGAGGGCAAAATTCAAACAGCCCTCTAATATGGTATATGGAAAGCACAGATAACAGGAAAATGCATATGCTTTTGATGCTACACATAGGAAAAAAGAATGATGCATGATACGTAGCACAAAATTCTGCCTTACAAAGAAATCAGTAGCTGGGTGCCTATAGCAGGTTACTGCACCGTTCCACAGCTTCTGTTCTATGCTTCCTCTTTTATACCCAACAGAGTTGAAAATATGTCTATGAGGCTAGAAGAAGTGAATGAAAGAGAACATTTTATGAAAGCTTCTCTTCAAACAGTTGACCTTCGACTCTCTCAGTTGGAAGAACTATCTGGTCGGATGGTGAATGCTCTAGAGAAGCTGGCAGGTATTGACAAATCTGAGCTGACATACACACGTTCTCGGGCTTCATCTGAGTGTGATGCTGCGTATCTCTTAAGGCAAAGCAGTGTTAACAGCTCTGATGGCTACAGCATGTACAGATACCATGTCGGTGGTGATGAATTAACATATGATGACAGTACTGCTCCAATGTCACCAGCCATGGGATTGCGTAAAAAAGCCCATTCCCTTGGTACCAAAGAAGATGGAGCAGACCCAAGGATGCTGGTTCCAGAACACCACACCAGTCTCCATTATACCTCTAGTGCTAATGCAGTCACCACAGCAGATTACAGTAAATCTACATTAGAAATTGCACAGAATGTTTCCAGACCCCATTCTTGTTCAGGAGGTTTTGAGGATGAAAAGCAGGGGATTTTCAAGAGTGATGGAATGGTTCCTCGAAGCATGAACCAGATGGATGCTGTTACAAACAGACAGTCAGTACCAAGATCAGATTTTCAGAATACTCAGGTAAAAGTAGAACGTACCAAGTTAGAAGCAACCATCTCTTATCCCTTGGAAAAATCTAAAGCAATGCGCTATTTTCCTCCTGAAACATTCAGTGCTTGTCAAACCACTATGATGAAGTCGAGGAGCTTTATATTTGCACATGGTGGGAAGCTGGTCGGAGGAGTTAATAACTGGACCACAGAGTATAGTACCATCATGGATCAGGTGTGCCCTTCTACAATTGAACAATGGGCCACAGAGTGGAAATACGAAGTTGAGCAGCAACTTTCTCAAGAGCGTCCTCCAGAATACCCTGGTGTTATCTCTGAAGCAGAAAGGCAAGCAGAGCAGAAACAGTTGCAGATGGACACAGACGACAGTGATGTTGGTGAAGTAGGTATGAGTGCCTCTTACACCTCTATGCCTGCCACTGTCAAGGCTGAGAATTTATTGTCAGTAAAGCCAGAAAGGACTTCGGGGTTCCCATCAGTACGGTCAAAGAGTTTGCACAGCCATTCTCGGAAAGCCAAGTCTGTAAAGGACAAGTTAAATAGACCAGGACATGCCAGCAGTGTAACTAATTTGGTGGTAGCATTTGGGAGTGCAACAGAAGAACAGAGGGCTAGGCAAGACAATGCATCCACAGAAACGGAATGTTAAAGTGGCTTATGACCCCTGTTTTATCAACAGTCAAGAAAGCAGCATGACTAATTGAACAAATGATGGATTTAAAAATTCATTTCTGAAGAAGAATTTTGCATATATTTGTTTCTTTTCATTTTAATAGATCTATGTTCTGTTCTTAAATAAATGCTTGCTGGGCCAGGTGAAAGAGAGATGTTCTCTCAGAGGCAGATAACAAGTTGGCACAGTCCACAAATGCCAACAGTGTAGATCTTTGTTCCATTTCAACCTCCCTCATAAGCTCATTTACTGACAAGCTCTTTATAAAAGCTCTTGAAAGAAGGACAATATTATCATGTAACAATTTAGAAAATGTTTTATCCTCTTTTTTTTTTTTTATCAGAAGGCTTCTTAAACTGAACACATTTTTAACCAGCCTTAGTTTTTATCCTTACTTATGCAGCTGGTTCCTTTGTGGCCATTGTGGTTTTTTTCAGATCAAAACAAAATTGTTGGGAAGCAAAGAAAAATTATGCAGTCCTCTCTTTTACTTCTGATTTCATGCATGCTTCCTAGCTCCTCTTTCAGAAAGGCACAACATAACCATTTTCATCGACTAAAATAGGTCTGAGTGGCAAAATACAGTTGTGTTTAGAGAAACCTGACTGGAAAGCCATGTGTAGACATATTCTTGACCTGCCCTTGAACTTTAATGACATAATCTTGCTTTCAGAATCATACCTGTCTCCACCCCAAAGCATGCTGGCAGCCTTAAACTGTTGAAAAACAGTGACCATTGTTTCAAAGTGTTTAGGAAGACTTTAAGTATATGAAGTATATAGAGATTTTAGTAATATGAATCCAAGACCTGCAATAGTGTTTTGTATAAATGGAAGTCCATGTAGAGCAAAAACCTGGCTTTTTTGAGATGCCTGCAAGGGAAAACAAAACCAAACAGGAAACGTGTTATGATAAGGTGAGATCAAAATGTAGCCAATCTGCATTTGAACCTAATCTACGGTGACAAATTCATCTTCCACTTTGCAATTTCATTATGATGACACATGAGGAACAAGGAACAGTTTCAGGAGTAAGACTAAACAAAAAATAGCTTTTCCAGATGAGGATAGAAATTCCACACATTTTCTTGAGTAACTTTCAAAAACAAATGTCAAAGGGAAATAAAGTCTCTACAGCAAAAGTGTTTTCTGTCCATCAAGGACTACACTAAGTCTGGAAATCTACATCTATAGTTACAGTTTCCTAGCACACTTGTCTCAACAGTGGCATTCCAAGTGCTAGGTTTTGATGGTTTTCTTCATAACAGTATGACATTATTTGCCTCATTCTTCTCTGACATCTTTTAGGAATTTTGTTTTACCAAATATTCAGCACCTCTCTTTGCAGAGGATGCATACCATTGAACAGACAAGAGAGAAAACGAGTTAAAGGCATGCTACATGTCCACAGAATACTGGTCAAACGTTTATGCTTAACTCATTAACCATCAGGACTTACTCCTGTGCTATTTTGAAAAGACAGAATTCCCCCCCCCCCATCAGCTCCACAGTGTGTAGGTCTCAGTATCCCCCTTGATAATGCTGCTTACAGCAATTTGAAATGCAGAGATTGATGGAAGACTCTACAAATGCATTGATGGCATCAGCTTTTTATTGTTTGTATTACATTTTCATACTCCGTCCATACTCACACCTTGAAGCACTGTTACCGTACTGAATGGTCATGATAACTGCACGGATGTTTCTGAAAGTTCAGTCACTCTTTACCATGGATTTTTGCTAGCTTGTCTTCTTAGCAGGTTGGTGACATTTTGCTTTTCATGTGGGCTTCTCTTTTATTCAGCTTTAGGGAACTTGACATTTTGTAAAAACAGAATGGCATTTGAAATTGTTCCACTTCCATGTTTACTTCTGTGTTACCATTCTATGCAAGTACATAGCCAATTTGTACGTGTGGTTGAAATAGCCTCCAATTTGCCAATGCCTTTTTATTGTTTGCCTGCACACTCACCAGAAACTGATTCATTAACAAACACAAAGGGATGCAGCTTTTCAGCACTTTGCTAAACAAGCAGTATGCATTGTGGAATGAAATACAGTCTGTTGCATACCTCTTGTTACATTGTCTTTATAAAATGTGTGTTAAATCATGCTCTGTTTGACCGGTTATTTTTTTTTTAGCATTTACATTAGAAATTTATCAGATAGCGTGTAGATTTCAAACAAAACCATCTTACCTTTGTATTTATTTACTTCCTTTGTGTAAAAATATTTATAAAGAAACATGAAAAAGATGTGAAATGAATTCCGTGTAACAAATTTTTCACTATGACGATACCAAAAGACTTCACTTACCTCTTCCTTCTTACGCAGTGCATGGGCTGAACATTTCCTAAGCGAAGTTTCCTTATTAACATTTGGCAGTAATTTTCCATAAAGTTCTCTATACAGCAATGACTTCATCACTTGGATGTTTTCTGTGTTCTGCCTAGCATGAACTGAAATGACAACCCTTCTGCCTTAAATGTGAAGTAGCTACACTGAGTTTGGTAGAGTTATTTTAAACATACAGCCACTTTAATAAGCTTTAAATACGGCTCTGTATGAGCACAGGGGACCAACAGTAGATTTGGAGCACACTAAACAGAATAACTATCAACATATTTTCATGTCTGCCTACATGTTTTCTTGAATAGCCCCTGAAAGGATGGAAGCACAGAATTTGCATTTCCCAAGAGTCATGGTTAATACTGCTTTTCAGGAAGATGCATCCCTCCTGCTGCCAAGTTTGTGGTGACTCCACAGCAGTGTTACCAGGGAATTCCACTGACTGTTTTTATTATCTGCTTGACCTATACTGAACCAGCTCAAGCCTTAAGACTACTGTAGGGCTATGTCTACACAGAGACATCACACTGAGGTAATTTAAGTTTGTTCATCTTACAGTATCTTGCAATAGAGACCTTTCTGTCTCCCTTGAGGCCAGTGTTTTAAACACAGTGACTAACTGTAATATTCACATAGGCAGGTTCTTAACTATACCAGCTGACTCCACTAATTATGACTTTTTAGATTGCATCATTCTGGGACAGGCTTGACTTTACTCTTGCCTCTCTTATTGCAGAGTCACTCCATTTTAGATGTTGGATTTCAATACCTGAGAACTAAGAAATGTCCATTTTCCCTATTATTTAGTAATGAATTAAAGCAGCCACTCAAACCTTCCAACTACGGTTTTCCATACTGCTTCTCTGGATGCTTTCCTAGGTTCTGGGCTTGACTATCATCTTTGGTGAAATGTGTATCATCTGTCCTTCTAAATAAAAGTTAAAAGGAGACAAGTATCTGTAAGGCCATGTCAGGAAACAGGAACACGAGGAGGGTGCATGACCAAGGACATCAACGGGATTATTTCATTACATCTACAAGATACACAGGATTGTGCCCTGTTACAGGTGTTCTGGGTAGTTAATCTACCCACACAGTTTGCTGCTATGGAAGAGGTGAGTTTTCAGGATGACAGCAGCATTTGGACATATTGCTGGGGGTCCCACCAGTGGTGCCATTGCCAGCGTATCACTTCTGTACCACTGTCCTGGCTGACTGGTCACTTCTGGTTGAACTGGTGTTACACTCAAAAACTTGTTATGAGCAAAAAGGAGACACACTTTGTAGTAGCATCAGGAATTTCTTGTTAGTGTTTAACAGTCTAATATATGTATTATTATTAGTCTAGATCTAATGACTAGAGAGGAGAAACAAGAAGAGAGGAGAGAGAAGAATACTTCTACAGGAAAAAAAAAGCAGTAAGGTAAAATTGATATATGCACACTTCTACTATCTACACTACCCCCTTTCTTTTATGTTTTGCTCACACCTACACTGATCCTCTGGGTCTAACAGTGGCTGCAGTGGGGGTAGTGAGGAAATATTGCCAGCTGTCAGCATCCCAGATCCTTCACGAGGGTGAGTGTGATGTTGATTATGCTGGTTTCTTTTGTTTTGCTTGCTTAGGGGCATTTTTATGTTTGCTACTAACTTTACGTCATATTTTTCTTCACTGGCCTTCAAATCCTAAAATTACACCTGCATTTCCTAGTGATTAGAAAAATTGCTTTCACAGCTAAACAAATGAAGGCACAGCTGGAGGCAGATTAAGGCAAGTTCAGACCAGGCAATCCTGACAAGCCTCAGTCCTGAGGCCTTACAAAGCATAAAGCCTGTGGCCTGATACTAGCAGTGACAATACTCTGTTTACTGGGCTGTGAGGCTGCATTAGCCCTAGAGGTGTCTTCCTCTCACTACAGCCACTGCAGATAAATGCTGTACTGCATGCAGTGGTCACCTGAGCTGAATATTTCGGCCTAGTTGTGGATGTTGGTCCCCCACTGAGATCCAACATCAGACAGAAAGGCAAAATAGATGTGAGGACCTGGTTGATATAGCCATTTAATGCCAGGGTCTAGGAGGGCTGGGGTAGTCAAAAACCAGTACACATCAATGGTTTGGATTGCAGGCTGAAAAACCACAAGCCTTGGGAGAAGTGAGACAAGAACTACAGATTTCCTTAAAACCACAATCATCTGCTTTTTTCAACTTCTAGCCTTATCTGCAGAACAGAAATTTGATATGGCAAAGGGGTGCTTTATGGTTGATGCCCTGTGTCTTTACAATGGATGTAAGGTATGTCTTCATAATAGGCTTTAAATTATTCTTTTAAGTTGTTGAGCCAAAATATTCACATGCTTGTATCCACCATCTCCTTTTTCTTGCACTACCTGGACTGCTATGCTCAGCAAGCTATTATCTGAGCAGACCAACAGCCCTCAAAAATGGCCATGGAAAAAGACTGGATTCTAGTTTAGGAGTAGTGGTAATCTGATAGTCAGTATCACAATACCTAGGTAAAATATCCCAAGCCAAGGTGGAACACTGTGCCAGTGAATAGCTCCAAATAACTCTAGGCAAGTAATACCTACATAATGATTAACGAGAAAAGTACCCTTATGTAATAGC